TGATCTTCATCAGTAAATATTTTAAGTCCTCTTCCCTTTCAGCAAGCAAGGTTGTATCATCTGCATATCGCAGGTTGTTAATGAGTCTTCCTACAAGCCTGATGCTACATTTTTCTTCATATAAAAGCACCGTCTTGGATTATTTGCTTAGCATACAGGTTGAGTTAAGTATGGTGAAAGAATACAACCCTGTCGCACACCTTTCTTAGTTTTAAACCATTCAGTGTTTCCCTGTTCTGTGTGAACAACCCCTTCTTGGTCCATGTATACATTCCTCATGAGCACAATTAAGTGTTCTGTAGTATTCATCCTTTGCAATGTTGTCCATAACTTGTCATCATCCACACATTTGAAAGCCTTTGCATAGTCAATAAATCACAGGTAAACATCTTTCTGGTATTGTCTGCTTTCAGCCAAGATCCATGGCACATCGGCACTGATATCACTCATTCTATGTCCTCTTCTGAATCCTGCTTGAACCTCTGGAAGTTCTCTGTCAGTGTATAATTGCATCCATTTCTGTATTACCTGTAGTAATATTTTACTTGCATGGGATATCAAAGATATTATCTGATGATTTCACATTCCATTGGGTCACCTCTCTGGAATGGGCACAAATACGGATCTCTTCCTATTAGTCAGCCAGAGAGTTGTCTTCCAAATTTCTTGGCAGTGATGAGTGAGTGCCTCCTTTGAAATTTTCTATTCAGCTCTTGGACCTCCTCAGTTCTTCTATTTGTTTTTGCATCTCTACACTGGAGAACAAGTTTCAGTGTCTCTTCTGACATCCATTTTGACCTTTTCCTTCTTGTCTTCTTAATAACTTTTTGCTTTCTTCATGTATGATGTTCTTCATGTCATCCCAAAATATGACATTGAGCATATCCTAACTGAATTTAGAGATTATCTCAAGAACAGATTTGATGCATTAGACATTAACGACCGAAAATCAAAAGAGTTGTGGATTGACATCATAAAAATCATACAGGAAGAAAGCAAAAGGTCACTAAAAAGACAGGAAAGAAACAAAATACCAAAATGGATCTCAGAAGAGACTGAATCATGCTCTCTATTGTAGAGAGGCTAAAGCACTTGGACGAAATGAGGAGGTAAAAGATCTGCACAGAAAATTTCAAAGGATAGCTTGAGAAGACAAAGTAACGTATTACAATGAAATGTACAAAGACCATATGTTACAGAGTAGAACTATATGACAGAGTAGACATTGCCTACATAGTTTCCAAGGGTGTGATCTTTATGATAGTGGACTCACATGTCTTTCTCCCTCAGAGGAGCTGGCGGGTTCAAAGCACTGACATTTTGGTTAGCAGCCACCTGCTTTACCCACTGCACCACCATGACACCTCATGTCTCTGATGCTGTGTTTTATATGTCAGAGTAGGTCACATAGCAGACTTAAGTGGGGAATAGACTTTACCTCTTGATTAGAGAAGATGCAGTTTTGCTGTTGTTTTTGCACTTTTGCATATATAATCCTTGCCAGTTTCATTTGTATGACATTATTCATGTATTTTCTACATGTTTTATCGATGTTTAAAGGACAGGATAATAGTTAGATTTTGATTTGTTCACTCCTTGTTTATGTAAAAGACCAGTCAGCTCAAGAACTGGTTTCTTAAATGTAATCATTTATTTTTTTATGTAGGTAAAAGTTATCTTTTATCCTTTGTTTTATTTCTGTTATGGTTTGTCACACCATGGCCAGAGTTTGACTCTGCTGTATTTCAGTTGCTATCTTTCATGCCTATATTTTTTCCCTCATCTAAATTTCCAATGCCTTTAAACTATCTTTTTATATAATAACTACAACATGTGGTAGCATATTTTCATTGACCTTTCCATACGTGAATATTATTTATCACTCTAGTTTTTTCATAGTTTGGTTAAGGAAAAAGCAGGTTGACTATTAGAGGGCTTACTTTCAATGTGTGGTTGATGACCTAATTGATTGCGATCATGTGTTCCTTTTGAGCTTGAAATATGCATAGATGTAGGTCCTCAATCACATGTCTCAGTGCATTTTCTGTAATTTTCCTGTGATAAGATGTCTCTAGGCAGAAATAAGTGTTATAGAAAAAATAATAAAAATAGTTTATTTATAATGCAAAAATTGGTTTTTCCTTCCTTAAAAAAGCTGATCATAATTGCATCACAATATAATTTTTCTTAAGAAAAAGTAATTATTATTTTTTTTTTTTTCCAGGTGTATGTAATGCATACATTAGCAGCTTCACTTTCTGCTTGTATTTATCAATGCCTATGTGGTACTCATAACTACAGGTAAGTATATTTTCATGAAATTAAGAATGTTTATAGTAACCAGTGAAGTTTCAGATTTTGTATGTTTTTGTTTTAGCAAATTATACTCAGTCATCTATTTTAAATAATGCAGAAAGGCATGCAGCTGAGATGTTAACTGCCTTTTCATCCTTGAAATTTTAGCTTATGTCTTTATGATAAATTAATCTTAGTCTATCACCACTCGTCTCTGTGTTTTTCATACAGTGGTGACTAGTGTGTTGCTGTGATTCTGGAAGCTATGCCACAGATTTTCTGTGTCACCCACAGTGGGTAGGTTTCAGACTAAGACAGACTAGGAAGAAGGAGAAACAGACTACTTCTGATGTTTGTTGTTGTTGTTGTTAGCCACTGAAAATCTTATGAATAGCAGTGGAACACTGTCAGCACCAGAATACAGACTATTGAAACACGATGGAAGAGCACCAGAATGTTGTCAGATATTGTGCCGGAAGAGGAGCCCCTCAGTTTGGAAGCCTCTTAAAATATAACTAGGGAAGGTTTGTCTCTTCAAAGTAGAATTAAGCCTGATGACAAAAATGGAGTAAAGCCTTCAGGATGTTCATTTGCTGATGGGCCACATCAAAATGAAGAGAAACAGTTGTAAACATTTGTTAGTAATCAGAACATGAAATGTACGAAGTCTTAATCTAGGAAATTGGAAATTGTCCAAAACGAAATGGAACACATAAATATTGATATCTTAGACATTAGTGAACTGAAATGGACTGGTATTGGCCATTTTGAATCTGACAATCACATGGTTTATGATGCTGGGAATGACAAATTGAACAGGAATGGCATTGCATTCATTGTCAAAAAGAATATATCAAGTTCTGTCTTGAAGTACAACACTATCTGTGATAGAATAATATCCATACACCTACAAGGAAAACCAGTTAATACTACAAGTATTCAAATTTATGCACCAACCATTAAAGCCAATGACAATGAAATGGAAGAATTCTACCAACTTCTTCAATCTGAAATTGATCAAACATATAGTTCAGATGTATTGATAAATACTTGCGATTGGAATGCAAAGGTTGGAAACAAAGTAGAAGGATCAGTCATTGGAAAATATGGCCTAGGTGATAGAAACTATGCTGGATATCTTATAGAATTTTGCAAGACAAATGTCTTCTTCATTGCAAATAACTCTTTTAAAAACATAAACTATGACTCTATGCATGGACCTCACAAGATGGAACACACAGAAAACAAATTGACTAAATCTGTGGAAAGAGACAGTAGAAAAGTTCTATATAATCAGCCAAAACCAGGCTAGAGGCAGATGGTGGAACAGATCATCAATTGCTCATATGCAAGTTCAGGCTGAAGCTGAAGAAAATGAAAACAAGTATACGAGAGCCGAGATATGACTATGACAATATCTCATCTGAATTTAGAGATTATCTGAAGAATAGATTTAATGCTTTAGACACTAAAGACCAAAGACCAGAAAAGCTGTGGATGACATCATGAACATCATGAAGGAAGAAAGCCAAAGGCCAATAAGAAGACAAGAAAGAAGGAAAAAGAAAACAAAGTGAATGTCAAAAGAGACTCTGAAACTTGATCTCCAGCATGATGCTAAAGCAAGGGAAAAAATGAGGAGGTAAACGAACTGAAAAGAAAGTTTCAAAGGGCAGGTCGAGAAGACAAAGTCAAGTATTATAATGAAATGTGCAAAATCCTAGAGTTAGAAAACCAAAAGGGAGAACACACTCAGCATTTCTCAGGCTTAGAGAACTGAAACAAAAATGCAAGCCTTAACTTGCAGAATTAAAGGATTCTATGGGCAAATTTTTGAATGATACAGATAGCATCAAAAGAAGATGGAAGGAATGCACAGCATCACTGTACCAAAAAGAAATGGTCAATGATCGATCATTTTAAGAGGTAGTGTATGATCAAGAGCCAATGATATTGAAAGAAGGAGTCCAAAGTGCCTTGGAAGCATTGGCAAAGAGCAAGTCACCAGGAATTTGTGGATACAAATTGTAATCTTGCAACATAACTGTTGGGGCACTGGAAGCATTCACTCATCTATGCCAAGAAATTTGCAAGACAACGCCCTGACCAAATGACTGGAAGAGTCAGTTTTGTGCCCATTTCCAATGCAGAAATCATCAGACAATATCATTAATATCGCATGCAACTAATGTCTTGCTAATGGTAATACAAAAAAACTGCCACAGCCATACATTGACAGAAAACCTCTAGCGATTCAAGCTGGATTTAGAAGAGGATGTGGAAGGAGGGATATCATTGCTGACGTCAAATGGATCTTGGCTGAAAGCAGTGAATAGCACAAAAATGTTTTATCTGTGCTTTATTGACTACACAAAGACTTTTGATTGTGTGGATCATGACAACCTGTGGACAACATTGTGGAGAATGAGTATTCCATATTCTTAGAGATCAGATCTAAAACATAAAAATATACACATGTAATTTATTATTGGTTTAAATGTTGTTTTGTTCTTTTAGTTCATTACAAACAAATCAATTTACTGGAATGGTGTATCAGACTGTATTGCTTCCCCGATACTCTTTGAAAATAGGAAGCTTAGATGAAGCAGTAACTCCCAACACATCACCAGCTCAATGGCCAGGTATAAATAATTTTTATTAGCTTTATTGAAAATTTTACTAAGTAAAAAGCTGGTTTGGTTTGGTTTTGCACATGATAATTACTGTTACTTATTGCTAGCATTGACACCAGTTATATATTCATCACTCATTATAAATTATATAATTACGTTCTGTTAGTAATACCTTGATCATCAGACTAAAATAACTGTTTTGTTACCTCATTTAAATTTTTTTGCTTTTTCATAATAGAAAATCATGTGTTAGGGCAGTACAATTTTATAAAAGTTATTATTTTATTGCAGATGCAGTGATGGGATTTTGAAATAGTAGTTTAAATTGGGTTACTGCTTTGTGAGATTTAGTGTCGTTGCAGGTTTTCAGTGATTCTCTTTATTGAACAAATAACTCAGCATTTGTTTATTGACTATAATTGTTTTTCCTAGTTATATGAACGTAGGAGAAAAAATGTTTACTTCTGATGCAATTTTTTTTTCTTTAATTTGAAAATATTATTTTTCAAATTCATCAATGGTAGCTCTGTTTGCTATTTGTTCTAGGAATAACTTCTTTAATTCGACTTTTGAATTCTTCTGGCGAGGAAGCCCATCCAGGGCTTACAATCTTGCTCTGTGAGATTCTCACAGCAATTTATCTGAGTCTCTTCATCCATGGCTTAGCAACACATTCTAGTAATGAACTGTTTCGGATTGTGGCCCATCCTCTAAATGAAAAAATGTGGTCTGCTGTATTTGGTGGTGGTGCGCATGTTCCCAGCAAAGAACAGACACATTCAAAAGCTTTAACTGGTTAGTTTCAAATCATTTACCTTTTTTTTTCCTTTTAAGTCTGAAGCTTTATTTATTGATGTGAATAATAATTTTCTGAAATGTAATTAATTTTAATTTATTCACTGTTCTTTTAACAGACCATTTTCTTAAAGCATAAACAGTTATATGGTGAAAATGCAATATAAACTTCCTGGTGCCGTTTTCAATCCTTAACATACTCATGCACCAATCTATTTTAGCATTAGTGATTAAAACTAAAGTAATCTTCTTAAGTTTTTATTATTGAAATTTTTATTTGCTTTGAAATACACTGTAATGTTGGTTTTTGTTGTATCCCAAATACAGATTCTCTCTTCTTTCTTTGGCAGGAAGGCACTTTGCTATGCCTAGCCCACACCAGGTAGTGGTATTCTCCATGGAGTGTGTGGGCTTTTCCAAAGCTCTTTCAGCCATCAGTTCTCATAGCCCTCCCAGTCTTGCAGGCAAGATTTTAGCACTAGAAATAGATTTTTACAGTTTAGCTTGCTTTGTGCTGTTTTGGAAGGGTTGGGGGACAAATGGGCCAGTTTTATTTTGTTTGTCATTTGTATAAAATTGAGACATTTCCTTTGATGAAGCCATTTTATTGATTTAAACCAGTGATTAGCATCTTAGAAAACCATCTTTAATATTTTATTCTGCTTTTATGGTTATTTTTTTGTATTTTACTGTAGACTTATGTTTTTAAGTATGTAAAAATACAGAAATTTCAGTGCTAATCATGGTAAATCAGACATTGCTTGGAATGACAAGAAAAACATTTTAATTGATGCTGCTTTTTGATTTGCTAATTATGATTCTGGCCATTATGGTTTTTGGATTTCTAAGTGTTAATAATACCATAAAAAGTAATATTTTACAAAATTACATCCCCTTTCCAATGCTTTGCAATTTAAAAACTATATGTATTGTACTAATTTAAAAACAGAAACACCAAAAGTTTTTGATCAGAAAAGAATATTTATGATTTCTGCCTTTTTGTTTTCTTTTAGTGATTTATTACCTTATATGTGATAATCTTGATTTTCAAATTTTGGATGTTATAAGAAGCAGATTTAGATGAGTGTTTATAACTGAAAACCTGCTTCATGCTATACTGACATGTTAAAGTAAAAAATTTAAATACCTTTTATAAAACAAGCCCTGTGCATATTTTTTTAGAAACCTGGTAAGATGATTTAACTCTTTATAAAGTTTAATTCACTTCCTTCATATTACTTCCTTCTTCTATACCAATTACACTCAAAAGCAATTTCCACTAAGTGCTGGCCCTGCTTGATTGTACAATAAAAAGCTCCCAACTATGAGACAAAACTTGTAAGGCTACCTTTCACTTGTTTGAAACTGTTACTTAATTATTGTTCTGAAGTGCTGTCGACTTGGTTCCAACTCATAGTGACCCTGTATGGTGTTTCTGAGGAGCAGCTGGTGAGTTTGAACCACTGACCTGGTGGTCCAGTGTTTATCATACTGTGCCACACCAGGACTCCAATATAGTGAACTCTAGAATTGAGGCATGTTGTTATATGCCATCAAGTCAGTTCTAACTCATAGTAACACTGTCTAGAGTTTTTCAGCAGTTGGTGAATTTGAGCCACCAACCTTGTAGTTAGCAATCCAGTGCTTATCTTACAAATCAACACCAGAACTCTGACTGTTAGCTGACACTCTCATTTTTTAATCTAACTTTCTTTCCCTCTCCTGCACATGCACTCATGGACATACACATACGCACATAGACAAATAATCCATATCTGTTCTTTATGATTAACAATTTTAAGACAAATTTACTTTATAACTTTGAAGTGAGGTTGGCAATTTTTTTATGTAAATTACAAAATAATATATTATTTAGACTTTGCAGATCCTTTTTTCTCTGTCACAGTTAATTCTGCCATTGTAACACACAAGCAACCATTAAGAATAGATAGACAAATAAGCATGGTTGTGTTCCAATAAAACTATTTATGAAAACAGACAATATTTACTTTAGAGGTAAATGCACTTTGTCATTGTTTCATTTGAGATAGAATATCTGCCTTCCCGTTAAGGGATTTCAGGTGTTAAAAACAAGTCAATGTTTCTGTGCATTGACCTCACATTGGACTTCATTACAACTATTTGAAATGCCCATGAAATAATACTTTTAGGACAAGTGGCATTAGAAGGGATAACTTATAGTCTCTAAAGGAAACCTAGGGTCCTGCTGTGGGTTAATGCACCAGACTACAAAACCATTTGAACTGCAAGGTCGACAGTTCAAGCTCACCAGCTGCTTCTTGGAAACTCTATACAGGGTCTCTATGAGGTCGGAATCGACTCAACAGCACTTAACAACAACAACAAAGGAAACCTGGTCTGGCACTATAGGATAAGCAGTGTACTTCTACCTCAAAGACAGCAGTTCAAACCCACCAACTGCTCCTCAGAAACCCTATACAGGACTGCTATGAGGTGTAACTGAGTCAGTGGCACTTAATGACAACAACAATAACAACATGGCCCCTAACTTCTTGACAAAGCCAGGAGGCAGTGAATTCAGTATTGACTGTAAGCTATTGAAAATACTTAAGGGTAATATTGCTTCTTCTGAAACTTAATACCATATTACCTACTCCTCTTCTGCAGACTACCCTTGCCATATTACTCTAATTGCAGTTGTATCTCCCTGGTCTTTTACCCTAAATGAAACTAAGTTCTAACTTTTCTTATAAATTTCAAATGCAAATTTACATTTTCTAACATTTTCATGTTTAAGTTATTCTATTATTCTTTTTGTGATTTTTATAAAGAAATTTCTTGTACTTTTAATTTTGATTTTTAAAAAAGTAAAAGACAACCTTCATATGAAATATTGGACTCTGAATTAATTAGTTAAAACTTCCAAAGTCTAAGGGGAGTAAAGTTTATAGCTTTATTGAATTTATTATAGTCAATTTCTAGGTTACAGATATCAGACAATTCATATTTGCCCTTTAATGTTATATAAATTTGCCCTTACTTTGAAGTGATTGACCAACTTCTGTTCACAACAGAATTTTTAACACAATTATGTTCACTTGCTATACATTCAGTTTTAAATCATTGAAAAGGCTTCCGGCCTTTTCTTGCACTAAAATTAAACCCACTGCCACTGAGTCTATTGCAACTTATAGCGATGCTGTATAGGCTGTAAATCTTTATGGAAGCAGAAAGCCTTTTTTTTTCTCCCATGAAGCAGCTGGTGGTTTTGAACTGCTGACCTTGCAGTTAGCAATCCTTGGCTTATCCTACAGTGCTACCAGGGCTTCTTCTCTTGCACTAAAGTGTGGCTAAATAAGAACCATATGCATCTTTTCCAGCTTACCTACAATTTTGACTTAGAGAAACTTAAGAATGGCTCTCTGGTAATTGATTTTTACCTTGCTTTAAATATGTCCTGAGGTAAAAGTATTTGAGCTTGTCATGTAAACTGTTAAAAGAGAAATTGTTGTTGAGGAAAGTACATATATTCATAATGAAAATTTCATTCTTAATAACAAAGCAGCAGTTCTAAGTTTCAACCATTTATGCTGAGCAAAGGTTGTAAAGAACCTCACTTACCAGCATTTGGTCGATGTTGCTTCTTGTTTTAACATTCAGATTTAGTTGATATTTCTAGGCACAGATACTATTATGTAAATTATCTTTCAAGTACCATCATAAACTGTATCCCACTAATTCACTGACAATAACCAGAAAATTCCTAATAATCAGAATTATCAAAGTATAACTGCATCTGTATGTTTCATGTCTTAGATTGGGACATAGGAGACAAGTAATACAAAGTACTAAAAACATGTGGTTAACTTAATGGGTAGGACATCTAAGTGGTACTGATGTATCTTTTAGAACCTAGAAACCATTTGAATTCACATAATCATGGAAGTAACTGGAAACGTACTTACAGAAAACAGGAATGGCATATTTAATCAGTTGCTAATCAGAAGGAAGGAGTGTATTCACTGAATGACAGAGCCAAAGGCCTACTTGATTCCAAGTTTGGCCTAGTCTCAGAAGCAGGAAGCAAAGGAAGGGAAAGAAATGAAGATACTTTGGTATTGCTGCTAAACATAATCATGATGTCCAAAGGTTCTAATTGCATTAGATTCTATAGTTGTTATCCAAGGAAGTATAATATAATACAATTTAGAAAAGTAGGTATGAATTCTGTGACTATTAACATATTTTCAATTGTTAGTGTTTAAATTTTACCAAATAAACCAGAAAGGTATAAAATATTCATTTACCTGATAACACTATCAGTGTCAATATTTTATGTTGAAGATGAAATACATGTTTAGAATGCCTAAACAAACATCTCTTTTCTAAAAAGCATTTTCATAACGGTAGTACTGTGAGGCGGGAGAAATAAGAGGTTTTCTGCTCCTGTAAAGATTTATAGTCTCTGAAACCCTACGCAGGGCCACTGTGAGTTGGAACTGACTCTTTGGCATGTAGTAGCAGCAGCAATAGTGTGAGAGGAATTTTTAAAAGTCATTATGTATTTTCCTTGTTCTGATATAAATTCTGATTTTAATTTTCTTTGCAATAATCTCAACTAAATTATATTTCTTTACATACCTTTTACATACTTTCATGTATGCTAATTCTTTTAATGAAATAAAACTTACATTTAGTAATTAAAATGATTTTCATTAAGCTTATGATTTCATTGGCAGCTCAGAATTCTTTTATAAAGTTATGTACATAAATCAGTAATTTACTATTTGATAAGAGTATTTTTATATTTTCTTTTAATTCTAAATCATCTTTTAGTGAAGACTTTGGTTTTTCTAATTAACTAAAACTAGTACAAGTGTTGTGTATGTGTGTAATTTTGAACTATTTTTGTGGTTAAAATATTGGGTTAATATTTAAAGAACAAAAAAGGCTAAGCAATATCAACTCAAACAATGACTCCTATTTTCCTGCTAACAGTTAGAAATCCATGTGTTCTCTTTTTATTGTATTGTATAACATAACTATATTTTAAATTTTATTTAAATAACTTTTACTGTACTGTATGATAATATCCATCATTTAAGACTTGTAAATTTTCTATCATTATCCTGATAAATTTACAGTAATGCTTTTTGATGTCTCTAATTTGAGGTAAAAATATAAAATAAACATTTATTTGTAGCATATTTTATTATAAGACTGTTAATGTCTAGACTATTTAAAGTATAATTCTTGCATTTTATTACAGATGTTAATTACAGATCAGAAGATTCATATTATTTGCTTTTCCCTGTATTTAATGATTATCCATGTTGTTGCTATCATTCTTTTATAAAAATATGCCCAGTTTCTTGACCAAAAATGCTAAGACTTGAACACATTTAAGATATAAAATAAAATCAGCTGTTCAAAAGATACTTGAATATGCCCAACACTGGTGATTTATTGTAAAGAACATTTAAAACCGGTTTACTCTCAAATAATTTTCCCAGATAAAGAGATAATTTCTTTGTTAGTGTTCTTGTACAGACTGTTCACTTAGGGTCATTTATGAGGTTTTCTGCTCCCACATAGAATGACAGCCTCGGAAACCCTATACAGAGTCTCTGAGTCTGAACCAACTCAGTGGCATTTAACAAAAACATCAATATAAATTTTAACATTCAAAAAGCATTCTATTGAACTGGATGGAGACCAGCTAACACTACTAACTGCTCTAAAAGGGATCACTTTTGAAGGTCCCTGATAGAGGGAGATAACATGGAACAACACTTAAAATTGTAAAATAAAAGACCAGGCTTACTTGTCAGAAAGAGACTGGAGGAGCCTGAGACTATGGTTGTCTGTCAACCTTCAGATCTGAACAGAACCCACCCTTGTGATACAGTTTTCATTTAAGTGGTAGATAGTGTCATAGGGGAGGACAACAACCGTAGTAAGGTATGGTAATCATGGAATGGTCAGTCATTCAAGATCAAAACGGCAACATTTACCAAAGAACAAAGTTCAGAAGAATTGGGAAGGAAGATGAAATAGAAATAAGAACCTGAGGAAGGAGGAAGTAGGATAATGGTTGTTACATGGAGGGGATTGCAGCCATTGAGACAAAACAAAGTATGATTTGTTGAATGTAAAGCTAATGATTTCTCTAAACCTTCACTCAATTCACAAATAAAAAACATTCTTGTCACGCATTAAATAAGAAATGTTCATACATAAGAATGGAGTAAGTATATTGTTGTTGTTGTTAAGTGCCATTGTCTGCTCTGACTCATAGCAACCCTGTATAGGGTTTCCAAGGAGGGACTAGTGAGTTTGAACTGCCGATTTTGTGGTCCAAACCAACCTTGCTGTCTCGTGCTTTGTCCCACAGCACCATGCCAAGACAGATATAAATGTTCAGTTTTACAGATAAATATATCCATGCAGCCAGGGTGCTCCTTGAAGGCCAAGATGGCCAAACTTTGTCTCTCATACTTCAGACATATTATCAAGAGGGACCAGTCACTGGAGAAGGATATCATGTTTGGTAAGGTGGAGGTCTACCTAAAATTGCCTTAGGTCTAGGTGCACTTTGAGGGAAAAGAAGAAACTTGCCTAATGATAAGCCACGCAGAATATTTCTTGTTTACTGCGAGGCATCGCTCTGGTCATTTTATTTGTAGCATCTCAAATAATACACCATTCAGAACTGTGAGCCTGCTTGCCAAGCATGTCTTGTTGTTGTCCTTGAACATCAAAAGGATTTGTTTTGTTTTTACTGTTGTTTTGTTTTGAATATTTTATTGTGTTTTAGGTGAAAGTTTACACAGCAGATTAGTTTCCCATTTGATTACTCATACACAAAATTTTCCATGACTGGTTGCTTTCACTGCAATATGTTAACATTCTCCCCATTTCCCACCTACCTTAGCCATTTCTAAGGCTTATCTTTGCTTTGGAGCAAATCATGTCCATTTGGTCTCCTATAATAGTTGTTCTAAGGAGCATATTCCTCATAGGGTATTACTGTTTATTTTGTGTTATTGTTGTGGTGAAGTGCCGTCTAGTTGGTTCCAACTTAAAGCAACTCTGTATAGGGTTTTTGAGGAGTTGCTGGTGAGTTTGAACTGCCAGCTTTACAATTAGTAGTTGAGTGTTTATCATACAGCACCACACCAGGATTTCATTTATTTTATAGGCCAGTCTATTATTTGACTGAAAAATGACTTCTGGGAATGGCTTCAGTTCCAGGTTAAAAGGTTACCTTAGGGCAGTAACTTTGGGGGTTCATTCCTCCATTCTCCATCAGTCTTGTAGTTTTGGTACTTTTTTGTGACTTTGAGCTTCATTATACATTTCTCTCCCTTGCTAACCAGAACCTTCTTTTGTGTCCCTGGTCAAAACAGTCAATAGTGGCAGCAGGGTACCATCTAGTTCGTCTGATGTCAGGCTAGAGAAAGCTGTGGTTCATGTGGGCCATTAGTCCTTTGGGCGGATTGCTTCCCTGAGTCTTTGGTTTCCTTCACTCACCTTGCTCCAGATGGGAAGATACCAATAGTTGTATCTTAGATAACTGCTTGCGACCGTCTAAGACCCCAGATAATACTCATCAAACCAGGAGTCCTGGTATGTTGCTGTGGATTAATGTGCTGAATTGCAAAGCTGGTTTGAACCACCAGGTTGGTGGTTTAAACTCACCAGCTGCACCTCGGAAACTCGATACAGGGTTGCTATGGGTCAGACCGACTCAGTGGCACTTAACAACAACAAACTAGGACGTGTTGACCTAGATATCACCTGCCACTATAATCCTTAGCCTTTTCAAGCTCAGTAACTCAGTCTGAGAAATTTTTTGAAAGATAATTTCATTATCTTTTAACTCCATTTTTCTACAGACTTTTAAAGTTTTTATTGGACTCCTGGTTTAGAGCTGTAGGGTAAGCACTGGACTGCAAACCACAAGGTCAGCAGTTCAAACCCATTCAAACCTATTCAGGGTTAATATAAATCCGGGTTGACTCAGCGGCACTTAAAAACAACAAAAATTACATATTTGTATATATATTTCCACAAACTACTTAAGCCCCCTATTACATACATGCTACATATATATTCATTTATGTAACAAAGCATATAAGGGACACAGTTATTGGCATTTCATAGACATCTGCAAATACCCTGTTACTGTGTTAGCTTACCAACCATTCAGGCAATTTCCAACCACATCTGTGATCCCATAAGATACTTGTTTTTGTTTTTAAAGGGACAGCAACTCTCCTTTTGTTAGATCTCCAGAGTGCATCCCATCACTGAAGCACCTCCCTCTCTACCTTCTCCTTTCCTGCCTCCTGGCTGCATTCATTTGTCTAACAACCATGAAGCCTTTCCTTCCAGGCTCATGGCAGCATTTGCTGGGTTCCTCTTCTTGCTGAAGGTGCTGGTAACACTGGCAGGGTATTCATTGGTACCCAGCTCCACACAGCAGCAGCTGCACATGATCAGGAAGTAGCTGCGCTAATAGGGTGGTAGTAGCCAGGGCTTTCATTGAATGGACTTTGATCAAAAGGGATTTAATAAGTAATTTTGTGCTTCATGCTATTGGGTTTACACATTTTAAGCAATTTCCACTCAGTGTGGTTTATTTCTTATTTTAATGTCAAATGTCTGGATTTACATACTTTCAAATGTTTCCTGCTTTTAAAAGTCATCATATTTTGTTTTAAAGTGACATTTATGATTTAACAACTTTTGCATAATCTGTTAATTTAGCATTATTAAGTTATTTTTTTGGTGATTTTCTGTACCTCTGGGTTATATATATAATAAGCTAAAAATAAAAGTAGTAATGGAGTAATGTTAAAAATCATATGATAAACATAAATCTTAGCATTAATTTTTGAAAGATAAAAACATACTTCACTTGATGAATCCACGGATTAAGTTTTAGAATATTTGTAAATAGAAGGAGGCTTCAAAAAGTTTGTAGAATAATGGAGTTTTTCTTGAACTTTGTGAAGCCCCCTCATGTATGCAGCAGTTACATTGGAAAGTTGATTGTTACTTATCCAGTGCTAATGAGAACAAAAAAGCAACTCTGGAATGTGACAGTTCCTTTTAAAATCATTTGAAAGAGTAATAATAATACTTACAATACTAATATTTTATCATCTCAATTTCTTTTTTTAAATAACTAAATTACTATATTAAACTGCTTGACTGTAAGCTTGATATAATGCATGTGCATGCGGAGCTGCTTTGAATAATAAAATAAAATTGTATTACAGCACAAATATCTTTGCAACCATTATTGGAGAATCTTGGTTTACTTTACTATAGAGTTATTTGTCTATATCTTAGACCATTGCTGTGTTTGGGAGAGTCTTGATTTCCTACTGATGATGTGCATCTTGTGACAGTGTATAACTGTTTTTTGACAGAATACTGAAAACTGTTTAATGTTTTTGCATTTTGTCCTTCTTCTCTATAATTCCATTGATTAGAAAATTTCACTTCTGTAACAGCTTAATTAAGTAGTTATGGAGCATGAGTTCTTAAATATTTAATAATGAAAAATATAGTTTGATATGTGTATACAAAACCAAGATATCACTGAAGAGTCTCCCAAGTGCTTTTAATTAACATTGACATCCATGATATTATTAAAACAAAATAGAAGTATATAGTAAATTTCCTGTCATGTTCCTAGGTATCTTGTGGATTGATTTATAGGCAAGTGTTATAACCGATTACACTAAATAATCAACAGATAAAGTCAATATTCAGAGAATAAGGATCAAGTTACGGTTACAGCAGAGATTGTTATACAAGGGAATTGTCTCCCTTTCCCTATTTATTTACCTTTTCTATACTTTCATAATAATCACATTCTTTTTTATACTATAAGATTTTGGATCTTATATATAGGTAGGTGAAATAAGTACCATGAAAATAGTGCTTACTTTTATAATGTTTTATTTTTTTGTTACTAGTTTCTTCATTAATGGAAGAAGGAGAAAAAAAGAACAAACATTTTAGGCCATCAAAAATGTCTTGCAGAGAAACTACTCCACTGACGTCTTCCTCACCTGCAATAAGCCAGGAGTCACTGACAGTCAAAGAGAAGTTCATCCCTCCTGAGCTCAGTATCTGGGACTATTTTATAGCTAAGGTAATACATATACTATCCAAATCAATATTGATGTCATCACATGAGAATGAAAGTGTTTAAATGCAACTCTAAATGTTGGTACTTAGTATAAGATATTTTCCCATGCTGATTTAGAGAATTTTCAATTTTTACCAGACTACATTCCAAAAAACTATACCGGGAACTATTTTTACCATATTTCCTATGAGTTTTTAAGGCAGTTTGCTGATAAACAATGAATTTTGCATTTTAAACAAAACAAAGTATATAACAAGAGAAAATGAGAACATGATTAATGGTTTAATGTTAATATACTTGACAGAAGTTTAAGGAATCAAAAAGCCTGGGTCAGAAGTCAAAGTGCCCTGGACATATGCTTCCTTTTTGATATTACAGGAACTCCTTGCTTTGCACGGGTTCCGATATACACAAATTTCGGTTACCACCATGTAGTTAAATAACACCAGTCCTCTAGCAGCATGGATCACATTTCAGTCTCTACGTTAAATGTAAATAATCATGTAAAGGAGTCCCTATGTGGAACAAACAGGTAAACACTCAGCTATTAGCCTAAAGGTTGGTACTTCAAATCCACCCAGAAGTTAGACCTGACAGTCTGCTTCCACAAGTTCACAACCTTGAAGGCCTTATGGAAAAGTTCTGCTTTGCACACAGAGTCACTACAGGTTAGAATCTACTCATTAGCAGCTAACAATGACAGCAGTAACAATTGCATAAAGTAAAAACTTTCCTGCTAACTTTGTTTAATCCACGAATCACTATGTAAATAATAAATGCTCAAAATGATCAGTGACCAACTAAGTAGGACAGTGCTTATGCATAACCAGTTTGCACACAGACTGTTTAGTATTTAGTACTAAACATGTGCTAAACTACATGAAAGTACCATGGACTGCCAGAAGTACAAAAAAATCAGTCTTGCAAGAAGTATGGTCAGAATGCTACTTTAAGTGAGGATGGCAAGACTTAGTTTCTGGTAATCTGGATAAGTTATCAGAAGGGATTAGTCCCTGGAAAAAGGCATCATGCTTGGTAAACTTGATGACCAGCAAAAAAGAGGAAGACACCCCCTCCCCCTGATAAAGATAAGTTGACTTAGTGGCAGCAACAATGGACTCAAAACATTTGTGAGGATGTTCCATGCTGGCTGGAGCATTGGTTTCTTCTGTTGTTAATAGGAACACTTTGAGTCTGAATTGACTCAGTGGCACACTCTAACTGAAAATCTGCATTTTTGGTCTGTGTTTAAAACAATTGGATTCGTTTAAATTTGAGTTATATGCTGTAAGTCATAGCAGGCCTCAGCTTGCTATGAAGAAATAGCACACTGTCCATTTTTGACTCATTTACGGAGCATCTCTAAATCTTGTTCTTCTAGATTCTAGCTCTTACATTTGTTTTCCCAGAGATATCCCATCTTACCACCAAATCTTCTCATTTCATTTAGTGGCAGTTTTATCCTTGGAGTGCTTGAGCTAGAAATCTTTTTTTTTTTTTTTTGTCTCACTTTCTCTACTCCGTAAATCTGTCAGTAAATCTTGTCAGTGTTTCTCCAAAATCTGTTATTTCTGTTAATTTCTCTCCATCACTACTACCTGTATCTAACTCTGGTCTTGGTTACTAATTTTTTCATTTCTACTTTTTCCTTTTGATTTTTCTCATACCACAGAATGGTCATAGTAATATTATTAAACTGTAAATCTCAATAGTTGTGCTTTACTTAAAACTCATTAGAGGAATTTCATGGTACTCTTTACCATGGTCTGTAAGACTGTACCTAATCCATCATCTGCCATTCTCTTCAGCCATTCTTTCTTGCTCAACAAACTTTAGTCAAATGTTCAGAATTTTGGTTAAAAAAAGAGTAACCTTTCTAAATGATATTTCTTCCCTTTTTATTAATGTGATGTATTCATCTTTGTCATGTCTCACATAAGTGCCACTTTCCAAAGTGGCTTTTTATGACCACCAGTTTTTCTCTTTTTTTATAATGTATCTGAACTCTTTCTTTTATCATAACACTTACGATGATTTATATTTAGTTCTCAGTTATTTGTCTGTCTTTTCTGCTAAAAACATAAGTTCCATCTCTATTCATTTTAAAAACCCTTATGTCCAAATACAGTCTTTGGCACATTGTGAGTTCTTCATAAATTCTTTGTTAAGTAGATGAATAAATATGGACATTGTACAAAATGATGTCAAAGCATTTGTTAAGTACCATCGAATTAGTTTCAACTCATAACTACCCTGTATAGGGTATCTAAGGAGTAGCTAGTCAGTCTGAACTGCTGACTTTTGTCAAAGGCATAGACTGGCAAAAATAAAATAATTTATTATAAAAAATGTACATTTCTTATAATGAAGTATCTTAAAATGGAATGAACTGATGTTATTCACTATATGCTTGAATGTATTAAATCAGATATTTGAATGATAAATTCTGTATAAATTTTTTTTTTTTTTTTTTTTAAAGCCTTTTTTACCTCCTTCCCAAAGTAGAGCAGAATATGATTCAGAGGAGAGTCTGGAAAGTGATGACGAGGATGATGATATTTTAGCTTCAGATTTCCATCTTCGAGAACATTCTAACTTGAATTCATATAGGTATGGAATATTTGATTTGATGCTTTTTTTAAAGAAATACTTTATCATGAATTATGTAAATATTTTTAAAGTAATATGACTAACTGCTTTTAAAATGATATAACTAAAATTTATTAAATTTATTGAACTTTTTATTCATAATTTTAGTTAATGCGCTATATACTGCAAGGTCAGTTTGAACCACAAGGTTGTCAGTTCAAGCTCACCAGTTGCTCCTCAGAAACCCTACAAAGGGTCGCTATGAGTTGGAAGCGATTCAACATAACTTAATGACAGCAGCATGAATGGATAATATATAATTCATCATTCCTCACAGATCTTACTATAAGATTATTTTTTGCCATTGTTCTTCTAAGATAAGGAAGCCAGGCTGTTTTAGCTTAGATAATCTAATGTTTTTAGAACACTAATACTGTAAGGTGTCAGTGTTGTTGTTCTTATGTGCCATGGAGTCGGTTCCAACTGTTAGCGACCCTGTGTAGGGTTTCCGAGGCTGTAAATCTTTATGGGAGCAGAAAGCCTCATGTTTCTCCTGCGGAACAGCTGGTAGTTTCAAACTGCTGACCGTGAGATTAACAGCCTGATTCATAACCACTACCAGAGCTCCTTAAGGTGTGGTGTTGTTGTTAAGTGCCATTGAGTCGATTCCGACCCTTAGCGACCCTGTATGCAGTCTCCAAGGAGCAGCTGGTAAGCTTGAACCACCAACCTTGCAGTTCAGATGATTTTGCAGTCTGACGCATTAGCCTACAGCACCACACCAGGACACCTAAGGTGTCAGTAAGTACTAGTTTAAAAAGATTTACATATATACAAAAGTTTAGGAAGACTGTTAAATAATAACAAAACAATATTTTACTAGAGGACATCTTAGAGACTAGTAGTGTACATTCAAATTCCTAGTGTAGTACTGTAGGATAAGCACTGGACCGCTAACCCCAAGGCTGTGGTTCACATCCATCACTCACTCCTCAGAAACCCTATACAAGGTGGTTACAAGTCAGAATTGACTCAATGACTTAACAACTACAATAACAAATAATGTACATTGAGAGTCACTTAAAATATGATTCTAATATATATTGTTTTCTGAGCACATTTAACATAAATATCAACAGAACATAACGAAGGGCTGGACTACAGTGTGAATGGAACCTCCAGACTTATATAGTACATAGTAAGCAGCAGACATAAGTGTCTCTCAGAGTATACTTTTATTAATGAAAGTTTTATACATGCTCTGAATTCAGCTTTTCTCCTCAGTGTCTTATGATTTTGGGGGGTGGTATGTGTGGTTGTTCCTTAATTGTATAGAATATCTAAGTACATAGTTTTGAAAGTATGAATAAATATTATCATAGTCTTTGTTCAATATAGATTGCATTTGCAACATCATCATTTTATACATGAAAAGTTTATCATGAAAGGTAAAGTCACAAACTTGGTATATACAGCTAATCCATAAAAAAGCATTCATGTTTTAATTAAAGCAATAGTTCTTAAATTTAGGGTTGGGATGATCATAGGCTATCAGTTTGAGAAAAAGGTAATACAAGTTTTGGACCATCGCCACAAAAATTCAAAATCACACAAAATGAGTCATGATATTTTGTATTTGCTTTATTTACATACGAGGGGACTTAAAAAGTCCATCTCACTACCCCAAGTTTGAAATTTTGGGATTATCTTCATCTTCAAAAATTAGGGACTGTTTAAATTATGACATAGATATATGATAGAATACAGTGATAGAAATGTAATTATAGGAAATTTGACATTATTTTGGAATAGGTTTACAGTATATTAATTGGATGATAGCAAGTTTCAAAAGTATTGTAAATAGGATCTTCTTTTTATAGAAGTGTATCTATACATAGATTGTTGATGTTGGTAAGTGCTATCAAGTTGATTCTGAGTCAAAGAAACCCTATAGAGGGTTTCCGAGGCTTTAAATCTTCACGGGAGCAAGGAGCCTCGTTGTTCTCTCAAGGAGTGGCTGGCAGGCTTGAACCTCGGACCTTGTGATTCACAGTCCAGTGTTTATGGTATGGAGCTCCTATGTAGATAAATAGATGTGTGTGTATATATATAACCAAACACATGTAGAAAAATAGTAATTGTGGTTATCCAGTCCTGGTTATCCACTGGACTGCAAGGTCAGTTTGAACCACAAGTTGGCAGTTGAAATCCACCAGCCATTTCTTGGAAACCCAGTGATTGGGAATTGGCTTAACATCACTAAACAACAATAACAGCAGCAATATAGTAACAGGTTTATTTATGTATGCTTATTTTTATTTACTGGAGTCTGGTGTAGCACTATGGCTTAATGCACTGGAGTGCAAAGTTGGTTTGAACTGCAGGGTTGGCAGTTCAAGGTCACCAGTCACCTCTCGGAATCCTACATAAGATTGCTATGAGTCAGAACTGACTCGACGGCACTTAACAATATTGTTATTTACCCATAATTTCCAAACTGTTGTCCTGTATTTATGAAGTTTCTAAATTAAAATCATTTCAGTAAACATTTATCTAATTTATTTTAATAAATAGGATAGTTAATATTATCAAACATATGCTTTGCATATATAAGTATCATCAACATTCAGAATGCTCACTACCAGCTCAAATGCTGTGTTTTCTTTGTGTTGTCTCTATTTGCCTAAATTATGAGATAACAATATATTATCTCATCTCTTTGATAAGCTGTTTACATATGAAGGGTATAGGTAATTTATTCAGATGGGATAATGTTAATTGCATTATTAAAAAAATAGAAATTTTCCTCAAAAATATTGTTGAGTGAATTAAATACTTTCTTCATTGAAAAAAAAGTGTTTTAACTTATTGATGTTAATTTTTCCTGTTGGCTTTAATTTTTGAAAATATGAAATATTTACATAGTTCAAAAGTCAAACTTTTATAGAAATCAAATGATTTCTACCTTTTTTGCTAATGTAAATAATGATGGCATGAGTAAATGCAGGCTTTTCTGGAGATATGTGATCAGGGTAGATTTTTAATAGTGGAATTTTGGGGTCAAAATGTGGTATGCTCTTTTTAATGTCTACATATATATTTAACAGTGCGACTGTTGCTTTATTTTTAGTTGGTCATTGATGCGATTAGCAATGGTGCAGTTGGTGCTCAACAATTTGAAGACTTTCTATCCCTTTGCAGGTCATGATCTTGCAGGTAATAAATATCTTTAACTACTGTTGCTGTACTTTTAATTTACCCCTCTGTATTTATTTTTTAATCATGGAGAACAAAAATTGCTAAAATCCTGTTGTTGAAGAAAAGTTTCTTTTAACTAAGCCTACCACTGTAAATGTGCCTTATTATACTGATAGACATGTATCATGGCAGTATCCAAGAAAACAAGGAGACTGTACCTGATGTTATTAACGGTATTGAGACAGTATTTATAGCTCTGGCTGAGGGTTGAGTGATGAAATTGTGTTAGATATGTAGAATACTGAGCCAGTGTAGAAACATAGCAATTATTAAGTCCAAAGCAGGAAAAGATTATACAGGAAAAAAAGAACCATGACTATATGCCAAGTTCAGCAATGAACTCCATTTTATATATACATAAGGGGCTTCAAACAGTCATGGAAAAGTGTAATTAAAAGACAGTGAATTTTTTTCATGAACTTTTTAAGTCCCCTCATATGTAAATAAGGCAAACACTAAAATACCAAGTTAGCCAGAAATTTTGATGTAGCTATATTAGAATGATGAAGAGAATTTATTTTCAAATTCCACAGTAGTAAATCATTTGTAAAATTGAAAATCAAGAACTCACAGTATAAATATGGAGGTAAGAAGCAGGAATAGAAAAATTTAAAGTGAAACCAGACCTCAGAACTCTGGCAAGAAACTGGAAAGTGATAAGTATAAGTTTTGTAATATCATTTAATTTTTAAAAGGTTTCTGTTATTTTCTAGACAAATCTTGATGTCATACAGAATTTGGGTCATTACAAAGGTTTAAAGCAGTTAAAATCAGACATGTTTTCAGATTAGTTTTTCATGTGAAATTAGTCACAAGAAGTGGCTGATACAGCAATAATTTAATTGATGAATTATCAGTATAATCCCAAATTCTATTATTAGAGCTTTGATGTAACTTCTACTTAGGATTGTCCTTTTATTCTGTTGTTCTAGGCCACCTAATTGTATTCACATGCTGTGCATGTTTAAGATTTTTTTAAATTGTGAATTGACTGAAGGTTTGCATACAAAATGATCAGTTTTACATTCAACATATCATACACTGTTTCATCTCAATGATGCCAATCCACTCCATCAAGCAGTTCTGATTTCTCCCTGTGGTTACCCATGTAAAAATATCCTCTTTCAAACTCTTACATTTTGTGGGATACATAAATATACATATACATACATGTGTATATGTGTGTATATATATATATACATATACACACACACACACACACACATATATAAGGAGCTCTGGTAGCGTAGTGGTTACGAATCGGGCTGCAAACCACAAGGTCAGTAGTTCGAAACTACCAGCTGCTCCGCGGGAGAAAGATGAGGCTTTCTGCTCCCGTAAAGATTTATAGCCTCGGAAACCCTGTTCAGGGTCGCTATGGGTCGGAACGGACTCCACGGCACTTAACAACAACATATAAACATATATATGTATGTATGTATATATCCTACTCTTCCTCCCATATCAATTTAGGCAGTGTCTGTGCCCGTGTATCTACGTACAAAACACTGTCGTTCCAAGATTGTGTATTTGTGTATATATCAACATTTACCTCTATCCCCTTTAGCCCTTGCATACTTCCCTGTGTCTTCACCTATCTTCATCATTCTACCAACCTTCCTCTTCTTGTATATTGCCTTCTCTGTCAACCGAGTTAACATGATTCTACCCTCGAGCCAGTGAATTGCTTTCCCTTCCCTCTGACCCCTGATAACCATCAAAGAATGTTTCTTTTAGTATTAAAACCTTTTCTAGAGTTTTTACAATAGTGGTCTCGTGTATTATTTTATTTTTTGTGATTGACTTATTTCACTCAGTTTAATATCCTCCAGGTTCATCCATGTTATGAGGTGTTTCACAGATTCATCTTTATTCTTCAACTCTCTGTATTATTCCACTGAGTATATGTACCAACATTTGTTAAACCATTCTCCTGTGTATGGGCATTTATGCTGTCTCCATATTTTTGCTATTGATAATAGTGCTACAATGAACATTGGTGTGCATCTATCTACTTGTGTCTTGGTTTTATTTCTTGTGTATATATACCAAGTAGAGGGATTATTGGGAAAGCACTCAACCACAGGTTGGTTTGAATCACAAGGTTGGCAGTTCAAACACACCAGGTGTTCCTTGGGATTGCTAGGTCATACTGTATTTATAGTTTTAACTTTCAGAGGAAGTTCCATACTGTTTTCCACAGTGACTGAACCATTTTACAGCCCCACCAGCAATGTAAGAGGGTCCCAGTCTTTCCACACCCTCACCAGCATTCATCATTTTATTTTTGTTGTATTTTTAACTATGCTATTAATGCATGGGTGAGATGATATCTCATTGTTATTTTTATTTGTATCTCAGATGACTGATTGTGAACATATCTTCATATGTTTGTTGGCTGAATGTCTTCCTCAGTGAAGTGACTGTTCATGTCCTTTGCCCATTTTTTAACTGGGTTGTCTTTTTCTTGTTGAGGTGTGCAGTTTAGTGTAAATTTGAGAGTTTAGTCCCCCATCAGATATGTCATTGCAAAATATTTTTTCCCAGCCTGCCAGTTCCCTTTTTACTCTTTTGCAAAATCTTTTGATGCACATAAATACTTGATTTTTAGGAGGTCCACATCATCTATTTAGTGTTAATACTGCTGGTGTGTTTTTATAATGTTTAATAGTGTATATATGCCATGTATTAGAGCTCCTAAGTTTATCCCTATTTTTTCATTGATGTAGTGTTAGGTTCTGTATTTATATCTTTAACCCACATTGAGTTTGTTTTTGTATATGGTGTGAGATATAGGTCTTGTTTCTTCTGCAAATGGATTACCAGTTTTGCCAGTACCATTTGTTGTAGAGACTACCTGTTCCCAATTTAATATGTTTTATCCTTTGTCAAAGATCACCTGACTGTATATGGATGGGTTTACTTCTGGTTTCTCAAGTGTGTTCCACTTTCATTGTACCAGTACCAAGCTATTTTGACCACTGTGTCTGTGTAGACAATTTTGAGATCAGGAGTTAGATGCCTCCAACTTTCTTCACCTTAATTAGTCTTGTCCGAGGTCTCTTTCCTTTTTTTAAAAGTTAGTGATAATTTTTTCCATCTCTTTAAAGAATAATATTGGAACCTGTATTTGGATTGCATTGTATCTATACAGATAGTGTTAGAATTTTCACAATGTTAGGTCTTCGTATCCAATAACATTGTGTTTTATAAATCTCTGGGTTCTCATGCCTTCATCCCTTTCCATAGTTTCTCTGCCAAGGTGTGTGTTAATATCTTAGTCATTCTTAAATATAGCATTTTATTACAGAAGATAAAGGTGGACCAACTTTATTTTTACTTTTTAGAACTTCCAGTTAGTTCACCACTTTGTCATGCTGTTCTAAAAACTCTCCAGTGTTGGGAACAAGTTCTTCTCCGACGACTTGAAATCCATGGTGGGCCACCTCAAAACTATATTGCAGTTCATACCTCTGATGAGAGTTTGTCATCAGGTCCTGCAATTCTTCGCCACAAAGCTTTGCTGGAACCTACAAACACTCCTTTCAGGTACGTTATTCTTTTTTAGTAGGAGTATTACTAAATTAGAAAGTTATTATTATATAGAGAAAAAAATATTTAAGGCCTATGTTTAATTTGAGGTTAGTGGTTTGTTCATGGGTAGGCTTCTTACCCTCGATACAGGAAACTCATGTCCATCCCAGCTGATGCACAACCTGCATAGCTACCGCCCTTTTGTCATTGGAAACTTGCTTGGTGCTTACATACTGGACAGACTAAGCTAGACTAGAAAAAATGGACTGGCTATCTTCTGACGATCAGCCAGTGAAAATCATATGGCTCACAAATGTTCAATTTTTAATAGATGGAGATAGAATTGTAGTCCAGTTGTGTACTATACTGTGTATGGCATTGCTGTGAGTCAGGGGCTGACTAGATGACAGATAAAAATATGCTTAATTTGTTATTCTAGGCTCACATCTATGTCTTTGTGATACGTGTTGAGTTCAGAGGTCAGCAAACTTGTTCTGAAAAGGTCCAGTAGCAAGTATTTTAGGTTTTGCCGACCATACAGTTTCATTACAACTACTCACCTTGCCACTGTGGTGTGAAAGAAATGACAGATAAAAACCTTATTTTCAAAAACATGAGGCCTATTGAATTTGGCTTACAGGCTACATTTTACTGACTTCTGTAGATCAGTACTATTCAAATTAATTGGTCAGCAAGCTTTTATTGTCAGTGAAGTTAACTTCAGAAGTTAACTCAATGCAGTGTTTGCTTCATCTATAAAGTCTTGATTCAGAAAAGAACTAAAGGAAAAAATGTGCTTAGTGTCTTACATGACATAGTTGAGGTACATTCTTATATAAGTTCTTACCTCAGTGCTCACTGCTAAGTAGGAACAAAAAGCTTGTGGACTGGTGCATATCCATATACAACACTTTGAGTATACCTTGTAGATCTCTTCTAGGAAACATACCTATGAGAGGGCTTCAAAATGCTCATGGAAAAATTGAATTGAGTAGTAATGGAATTTTTGTTAGAAAAATTTTTAAAGTCACCCCATATTTATGTTAGATCTCAGTTTTCTAGTTCAGGGATCAGCAAACTATGGCTCTGAGATCCAATCCTAGCCTACTCCTGTCTTTAAATGAAGTTCTACTGGATTATCAACCATATCCATTCACTTGCATGTTCTTTTTTTCCCCTAGTCTTAATAACATGTATTTATTGATACTATTTCATTGTTTTTCTGTTGCTGCTTTGACAAGTCATCCAACATTTATTGTTTTGAAACAACCACCGGTTTATTTGTTCACAATTCTTTGATCTAGTCTTGGCCTAGCTGAATGTTTCTTCTGCTGGTTTTGCCAGTGGTCTTTTTTTTTTAACCTTTTAATTGTGAATTGAGTGAAGGTTTACAAGGCTACTTTGCCAATGAGATGGCAGAGTTTAGTAGTTGTGGCAAAGATCAGATGATCTCCAGAGCATAAAATATAGTCTATCTGGTCCCTTAAGAAAAATATGCTGATGATGTAATCTGATTCTAGTTAACTTCTAGTAAGCATTCATACAGTATCAAGGAAATGTAATCATGCTTATCAGAAATTGTTAAAAGTGTATAATTAAATTTACTCTCTAGATCCAAACATCATATGGCACTTTCTGTGAAAAGGCTTTGGCAGTACTTGGTAAAACAAGAAGAAATTCAAGAGACCTTTATCAGAAATATATTCACAAAGAAACGATGTTTAAATGAGGTATGTGAAGTTAAAATCTGTTTATACAGTTTTATTATTAAAGTCTTTTATAGTATCATGTAACCATGAAGAATGAGTTGATTTGTTAAAGATATTTTTCTAGCTGTTAAGTGATCCAAAAAAGAGGGACAACAATATTTTCAAATTAGTATTTATTTTTTAAAATATATTGCTTGGATTAAGATTTTTGTACATTTTCTTATTTTCTGTGTTATGATCGTGAATTTAAGAAAGTTGGAATTTCCTGCAATGAAATTGTTTAAAGAATTTTATCCTAGAAGTACCAATTTGATGATATGGGGAACTTGGACCTGAATATAAATAAACCTATATAATTTTTTTAAGTGGGAGGGAAAATAACGTACTTTAGTTGGAGATATAAGAAAATAAAATGGCTTCTCATTTAAGTTGCTATAAAGCACAATGGTATCTAACATTGAAAAACAAATTACTTATATCTAATTATTTTTCAAAGAACTAATTTATGAGATGTAGCCACCCACAATATTATATTTTGTCTAATGGTGTAAACATATTTAAGGTAACGACCCTAAGAAATCTAGGATATAAGAAAATACAGTTGATTTCCATTATTTTCATTAGTTATGTCCCCTCAAATATTTAATTAGTAGATTACGAACCAACTTTTACCTCAGGTGAGAATTTATCACCAGTATGCACAAGCATGTCTGTACATCACTACAAAAGCACTGCAGGTACTGTTAGTGAACAGATAAATTCATGAATATGGAATCTGCAAATAATGAGCATGGCCTAGCTTTTGTGTCCTTGCTGATTTAGAAAACTTTTAACTTGCATAACTTGATATCACCATTTGAAATCTTAGCTGAAAAATGAATACTAGCGCAAGTCAAAAAGTATTGCTGCTGAAGAGTCCAGTTCATATTTGTACATGTTTATGCCAAAGAAAATGTGTTTAAACATGTCTGATCACTGGATGACTGCAGACAGATTCTCTCAGCTGTACACTTGCATTAGTCTCCTTAGGGTGCCTTCAAAAAAGGAATACTTTTTGCATCAGGGCAAAATATGATTCAGAGGTTAAGACTAATACTAAAATTTTAATGAAACAAATGGTTATTTTCTGAAATCATTCAAGTTTTCTTCCGATTTATTTTTTTTTAGTAGAATCTTTTTTCAGAAAACAAAACAAAACAAAAAAGTTTCCAACCACACACGGGGTTGGGGGGTGGTAAGGGGAGGTGTCTGTCCAACCAGCCCTGTCCCCCACCCCATATGGTTTTGGCAGCAATAAGGGGTTTGGGGTAATGGCCCAAAAAATAAAAATGGTGTATGTGTGTGTATGGGAAGGAGAGGGGTACAAAAGCAGTGGGGAGTGGTAGGGGCAAGGGGCAGACGAGATCAGTACTGAGCACGTCGCAGGTGGGAGACCATTTCATAACATTTCTTGTTGATGAAACCACCGTGGACACCTTCTTTGCCCATCAGCAGGACTAGCGTCTTGGCAGTCATGGTGACAGTGAGGTTGAAGGTAGGAGCTCCGCCAGTGCTCTTGGTGCAAAAGATCTGTGGTATACTTCCCGTCCAGCAGTACTGAGTCCCGGATCACAGAACATTTCTGGCCCCCAAGTGTCAGCCCACTCACGATTGATCGATGTTTGCCATTAACGAATGTTTTCCCGGGGACAGCGGCCCAGACAGAGGGCGAGTCCTTATAGCCCCCTATGGCCGTGTCCTTACAGGTCTCGTCCGCCAAGATATCGATGTAGGCGTTTCACTCGGCCATGGTGCTGCTACTGGGGCTGTTCTTGGTGCTGCTGGTGGGCCATGGACTGAGCTCGGGCTGCCTCCAGCTGGCGGGCGCAGGGGGAGGCTGAGAGCTTGGGGCACACGCTGATGCCCGGACCGTGGCTCTGCTAGCTGTGCACCAGATTTATTCTTTTTTAATGGTTGTTTCTCTACCAGATGAATACTGAGATTTTTTCTTCAAGCTCACTATTTCAGGTTTCCACTGATTCAATTTTATTTCTATGCTCTTTCTGTGTATTATCATTTCTGGAGTTTTATTGTACGTCTTCTGGCTTCCTAATTGCTGTTTTTGTATGGTTCCCATTTTTTTCAATTATTTTATCAGTTTGTGTCCTGAATATTTTCATGATTTTGTCTATGTTTTCCTTAATTTCATCTGTACTTTTTTCGATCTTACTATGCCTAGTTAGCATTCTTTTAAATTCCTTATTGCAGAGTTCCACTTCACTTCTGGTGTTAGATTTTCTGACTCTATATTTTGGTCACTTGTGAGAGGCAGTTCTATCTTGTTTCTTTATGTAAGCTTAAATAGTTTGTTTTCATCAAGTCATTATGTCATATTTGTATTTAGTTGATAACTGTATGTTGCTGAATTCTCAGGCACTCACCACCTGTCTCCTAGTGGATGTGGTAGGAACTGGAAGTATGAATGCCGGTAGTTCTGTTTGTTGTGTAACATAGTCCAGGGGGGTTCACTGCCTCCTGAAATGGGTGCTATGCTAGGCGTGCAACTCCAAGCAGAGCAAAGGCTGTGCAGGAGGGAGTACAATTGGCCACTTGGTTGGCAAGAGCGAGGACTGGCTATACACCTGGCTACCAGGAGGCACAGAAGAAATAAGATAGAATTGCATCCCCTTGCTACCAACTTCTAGCTGCATTCTGTGCTTGCATGCTGTCTCAGCAGTCACTCACAAAAGTTGAAGATAGCCATCCCAGCCTGCAGTCAACCCATTTTTCTCTCACCATTTTTCTTGATGGTGATAATCTTTGAGAAATAAAATAATTCTGAAAACAAAACAAAAACTGGTGAGTCATTAGATTGTCTAGTCGATTGAAGGGGGAAGGGAAGGCAAATAACAGAATCAAGCCAGAATATATAAGGATAGTAGATAGTAAATATAACTATACGTTTCAAATTTTGTATTTTATCCAAACTTTTCTAAAGAATTTCAACATATTATAAGACAATTTCTAAGTGACTTTTATATTTTATTTGTTACAAAAACTGAAATACATTTTATACTAAAAGCCTATAGTTATCACTAAACTACATAATTCTCTGAATTTTAGTCTCTCTAGCATCAAAATAATGAGTATAATAATCCTTACTTTGCAATGTTCTGAAGAGTAGATTTAATTCACCTAAACTTGGCACAATTTATGGTCATTATTTCGAATCGGGCTGTGAACTGCAAGGTCAGCAGTTCGAAACTACCAGCTGTCCCGCAGGAGAAAGATGAGGCTTTCTGCTCCCATAAAGATTTACAGCCCCGGAAACCCTGTACAGCGTCGCTATGAGTCAGAACTGACTCCACAGCACATACCAACAACAACAGTTAGTAATTTGTTACTGTTTATTGTTCTATTCTTGATGGTGATCATCTTGATGGTGATAAAAGGAATATTAAAAGGAAAAGCAAAGGTTGCCTGGAATTTAAGTAGAATCTTAGCATTTAAATCTTTCCTGAAAAGTTGAGTAACCTGTTCTTGGTGGTAAAATTTCCTTCTGTCTCTTTAATTTTATAAAAATTATGATTATGCTTAAATATCTGAGTCTGTGTCACTGTGATTTTTTAAGATGGTTTGGAACTAGCTTTGACAGTTTGGGATATGGAGCGTCCTAGTGCTATAAGAGTTAAGTGTTTGGCAGCTAACCAAAAGGTTGGCAGTTCAAACCCACCCAGTGGCGATCTCCTCATGTAAGGAAGATTGTAGCCTAGAAAACCCTCTGGGGCAGTTCTCCTCTGTCACATGGGATCATTATGTTTCAAAAGTGACTCGAAGGCACACAGCAATATATTTTGGATGAGAGATGATGGACTGTATGTAGAGACTACTGTTGTCTCTTTTTTCTTTGTGTGTTTGAAAATTAAGTTGTGTGATTTCTTGATATGATTCTAAAGTCCTGGTATATTTTCAGGTCTTTTCTTTTCCGGTATAATGTGGTTTACTGATACACACATTCTTACAATAGAGGTCCATTCTGTTTTTTAAATTAAGTATGTTGTTGTTGTTGTTAAGTGCCATCAAGTCGGTTCCGATCCATAGCGACCCTGTACAGGGTTTCCGAGTATAGATATCTACAAAAGTACTATATGTCATTCCCAATATAAAATTTTGATAGCTGCTATCTTTGTCTCCAATTTTCTTTTTCTGTTTTCTTTCATTTTCTTGGAAAAAAACAACAACAACTGAAGGTCTTGAACCAACTATTTCTTTAACAAGTGCTATTACGCCCTTCAGACTTAACCCACTGCATTGAGAGAGAAGGATGAAGCAGTCTGCTTTAAAGATTTACAGCCTCAGAAACGTTAGGGAGTAGTTGCTGTATCCTATAAGGTCTAGATAGATGGCAGTGACTTGGTGTTTTTTTGTTTTTTTTTTTAATATCCACTTTTAAGAAAGAAATGTTCCTATAAGCAATTTATTGACTGTTTTCTGGCTAAAGCAAGAGAATCAGAAATCTAGAAATCCAAAATTTCTAATCAGGTTTTCCTGAGAGGAGTGATAGCCTAGAGACAAATATAGTAATGTGTAAGAAATAGTACTGTGGCAGTAGTTCTGAATTTTGTACTTTTTTCAAATTTCATTTTGACAACATTTCAAAGTACATTAAAACAAACAACAAAAAAAAACACTGCCATAGAGTCAATTCCAATTCATAGTGACGCTGTATAGGATTTCCAAGGTTGTAAATCTTTATAGGAACAAAATTTCTTAGGAGAGAGAATCAACTTTATAGTTCTTATAGAGTAAGCTAACCATGCACCCCACATATGCTTCTTTTAACATATATCAGATTTAAAATATAACTCAGTGCAGTGGTGTGTTTTTTTAGTAAATTTGGTTAAAAATATAACTTTTTAAAAGTTTCCTACTGTTTTGCATGTTACATCTCTTTACTCTTTGTCATGTGGTTATTCTTTCTTTGATGAAGTCATTAGAGGACAACAATGAAACCATCAAAAATTCTATGATGGAGGAGCCAT